GAACAGCATCAATATGGTGCAGGGAGTTTTGTAAGGCAAGGCACTGATGCATCCATATGATCACTCATCTTGAAGCAAGTGGAAGTTCCTCTCGCATACAGAGAGGATAGCATGGCCCTTGCATCTGAAGCATTCTCTCAGTCCTGACATTAAAGGCAATGTGTTGAAAGGCCGTCTGGAAATATTTGCCAGTGCAGCTCCGTGCATGTGCGTGCGTGTGTGTGTAAATACCCAATTTCGTGCTCAGAGGGCTATTTGTCACAGTGTTTGCTTTTCCGAAAAGACATGGAAGGAGACTATGCATGCAAATAGTATGTGTCTCCAAGCCCACCTTCTTTCTTTCCAGCAGCCACTTCTTCCCCCTTTCTTACTTTCTTTTCCTTTTTCTTAAAAGGTCATTCGGAGATGACATAAATCTCAGAACTTAAAATGTAAATCTTTTTTTCTCCTCTTGGCAAAGCATTCGTTATAATTTCCTGAGATCAATTCTTAGAGAAACAAAAACTGAAAATAATACTTATTCCAAATAATGACACTAATAGAGCGTAGGAAGTAGAGAAAGCTCCTTACAGGATGGGCAGTAGCATCAAAGCAAAACAAAAACTATTGCCAACATAAAACCTCCCTCCAATAAATAAACAAGCCAGCAATCCTTAGCAAAGGAGTGTCAGCAAAACAGCTGGAGTTGCTGCTTGTGGGGATGATGTGAAAGGAGGGGGTAACTGGACTCCCTAAATAAGTATTTCCATGGAGCATAGGAACAAATGAGTTTAAAGCAGAGTACTCTTCCCCAACCTGGTACTGTGCAGATGTGCTGGACTGTAACTCCTAGCATCCCACAACCAGCCCGGAAGGGTGTCCTAGAGGAAGGTCATCTGGTGCTCACTTGGGCTGTGAGGGTGCGCTCATTCCCAAGACCACCCCTTGCCAGTCCTCTAGACCAGGGGTAGGCTACCTGCGGTTCTCCATACGCTTTCAACAACAGCCCCAGTGAGCATGGCCAGTGGTTGAGGATTATGGAATGTATAGTCCAAACATCAGGTGGGCACATCCTGCTCTAGATGTTCAGCCCGAGGGCTTGTCCTAGCCTGAGGACTGTGTCCTGCTTTATAGGTGACAGTCTGGTATCCGAAGGGCTGCCAGAGGACAGTTCTCTGCTTGAATGGCTGGCCACTCCCAGTTTGGCCAAGTACAAAGAACTGTAAGCAAGTCAAGCAGAGGCCTTGAAGTTGCCCATCAAGAATTAACACCTGGACAGCAGAAAAGGCAACAGGAAAGATGGAGACACCCGGTCACCTCCCCAAAAAACATACTGCATTGCTACTGAAGTTGTAATAGTACTTTCTAAACATCCATCTCTGCATTATGAGATGGCACATGCAAAGGTTATGCAAACTTTGCTCGTCCTTTGTCTTCTTCTTCTTCTTCTTTTTGGTTGATGTGTAAATGGCCATTCCAGCTTGTTTAAAGATGCTGTGAAAGGAGTTGGTTGAACCCTGAGCTGATACCATGAACAGGACCACTTCAGGGGTGCCATAATCAGTGCCGCTGCCCCCCCACACACACACACACATTCATAAGCACCAAAAGAGATTTCAAACTAATAAAACAATATAAGGAAAGAGCTTTTAGCTGTGGGGGCTATTATTTATTTATTATTTAACATTTTAATAGACCATTCTATCAGCACTTGCTCTCAGAACGGTTTGCAATTATTGTAAACAGCATAACACTTTACGCGTATAAAATCCATATCCAAATAATCACAAAAATACAGGGGGAATAAATGGGGGTAGGTAGAGAGAAAGTGGAAAAGTTCGTGCATGTGCAAGTAGAAAATACTAGAATTTTGTCCTCCTTTGTCATGGTTTGGGAGAAAAAGTACAGGGTATGCTTTTACTGAATTGCAATATGAAACTATGCCTTGTCCTATAGCCTGATCTTACATAAGTCTATGTGTTTACCTGCGACATGCTGCATGACAAGAATGGTAGTATAGAAACTCTGTGCAATGCTTCTGCAGACAACGCCTTTCTTCTGAACATCGGACTCCTGCTTTGCAGGCCAAATGTGACCTCCAAGTCTACAAGCCAGAGAAAGTGTCCTGAGCGTCCCATGGTTTCGTGAGCCTTGGGCTGGTATTCTTTCTCCCACACTGGCTCAGCCTGCACAGAAAGCTGTGCCAGGCTTTTGTGTAACACGGAGAACCATTTAAAAATGCAATCCTGCCCACCCAACAGCAGCAGTCTGACCTGGGGCTGTCTGCTCTAGCGGCTCAGGGTCCTTACCACCTCTTTCTGCTGCGTGTGTGGATCAGGCATGCAGCAAGCAATGGCCTCCAGGGCTGTGTGCACCTTTGCTCGATTCCCCTCCTGTTGCAACACTCACCTGTTTGCTCCCATATACAAACAATGGGCATGTTGTGCATGAGCCGAGGAAGCGCATCATGCCAAGCGTCTGCCAAAGGCTCTGGCGGCTCAGCAGGACAGGCATTAAAGGGGCTCCTTGCTGTTTGTGGCTGCGTCACAGGGCCAGCATGGCTGGCTGCTGATCCAACGGGCCTTTGCTAAAAACAGGTGGGCCATCCTCTTTGTAGAGAAATCACCCAAGATGGACTCAGGCATGTCACTGGAAACTAATTTCTGTTAAAGTTGTGATCTTATGCACAGCTCCTTCAGAGCAGGGGTGGACACCCTCCAGATGTTTTTGCCCACAAATCCCAGAGATGAGACATAGTATCAGCTAAAAACATTCGGAAAGCTCCAAGATGCCCATTCTAGCTTTAAAGCAAAGCCCACTTGAGTTAAGCCAATTCCATAGGTCATAAATGGATGAAGGGGCCATGTGAACAGCTGCTCAACTAGATTCCTGCACAGAGCCTTTGTTCACACGAGCTCAGGTACGTGGGATTCCCTGCGCAGTCCTTTCCCTGCAAAAATAGGGGTTGGAGAGATTAAGCCTCTGGACCAACAGCGACTGCAGCTTTCACCTCCTCCCGCTCCAGAAATATTTAGTATGAAATCCTGCTTTATAGACCCTGCTCAAGGGCAAAAGGTGCGATGTTGTCCTTGGTGCATTTGTTATCTTCAGTTTTGGTTGACTGGGCAGGGCACGCCTTTCACTGAAACCAGGTGGACTCTCCATTCTCAGCAAGCAAACGTGCATCAAACTGGGGAGTAGAGCATTTTAGGATCAGATTTTAAGGGCTGATTCAAATCTAACAAAGAAGCAAGGATGCTAAAGCAGTCTTTCAAAATTATACTTTACCTATTGCAGAATTACTGAGAGATTCATTAATAAAACAAACACAGAAGTAATATTAACTAATCCGGACTTTTGCTCAGTGATAAGAATATATGAGAAGTCCTGCTGGATCAGAACAAAGGCAATCAAGTCCAGCATTCTATTTGCACAGCAGCCAGTGCCTCACATCTCACACTCTGAGATGCTATATGTGAACCTGCTCGTAACTGTTTCCACACTGTCAGCATCAGTAATTAAAATGGAAAGGCACTGGACCTTAATATCTTGTTCTTTATGTACCTTCAAGGTATTCTGCTAATGAAAGCAATGACCTTCTTTCATAATATTCACTCAAAGGCAAACCCTGAATCATCCTGGAGTAAATTAATTGAAAAGGAGAACTGAGAATCAGCTGCAAATTAATTTAAGGATTTGGGATGGGGTGAGTTGGATGAGAAATTAATTAGTGCTTCAGCTTCTAATTGTTGTTGTTGTGTGCTGTCAAGTCATCTCTGACTTATGAGAACGCTATGAACGAAAGCCCTCCAGAATGTCCTACCCGTGACATCCCAGCTAAGCTGCGCTAAATTCAAGACCGGGGCTTCCTTCATGGAGTCAACCCGTCTCTCGTTTGGTCTTCCTTTTCCTCTTGTGCCTGTTACTTTCCCTAGCATGGCTGTCTTCTCCAGTCAGTCTTGCCATCTCGTGATGTGGCCAAAATAGGACAGCATCAGTTCTGTCATTTTTGCTTTTCGGGTAAGTTTTGGCTTGATTTGATCTAAGACCCACTGGTCCATATTTCACAGAGCTCTCCTCCAACTGTGTTGCAAATGCCTCAATTTTCTTCCTGTGAGTGTTCCCATGCATACACAGAGATCAGGAATACAATGGTGTGAAGGATCTTGGCCTTGGTCTTCAGTGCAGCATCGCTGCATGTGATGATCTTTCCTAGTTCCCTCACTGCTGCTCTTCCCAGCCTGAAGTCTCAGTCTTCTTCTGACTTTTTGGCTACAAACTCCCCTTGAAATTCCCTTTAAATCCTTCCATATTCTAATAATTATCTCCAAATTTGTGTGTGTGTGTGGGGGGGTGCAGTATCCAGTGGGGCTACAGTGCTCACACAATAGTGCTAGTATAAATAATTTCTAGCAAATCACAAATTGTGTAAGCTGGCAGGACAGATTTCTTTGGAAACCTCTTCACATTAACTTACACTATCAGCATTGCACTAGTGCTTGGCTCCACTAGCACAGTGTCACCTGCCTAAGTTCATTAGCCTCATTAGATACTGTCCCAAGATATATTAGCATATGCAAAGTCTATGCAAAGTGGCCTTTGGTCCCCTTTTCCATTGGTGCATGCACTTTTGGGGCATCGCTTAAGTGGCCACTCCATCCCTATTTTTCTAACACTGGGCATCCTGTGCCTTCAGTGGAAGCCAGCTCATCTCAGCCAGTACTGCTGTCTTTGTCCTGGTACTGCTGGGGTCTAAAAAACTTCCCTTAAGGAAACTCTCGTGACTGTTAATGGAACAAGAGGCCTGGAGAATTCTTCATGTTCATGATCCAGCTGGTCTCCTTACCCATCAAAATTCTATGAACAAGTCTATGTGATTGCTGAATAAAAGCTTTGCCTGTTGAACTTCCATGTCAATGCAAATTGTCCATCCATATTTTAGATGTGCAGGTGGAAAAATACACTGGGAAAAGTTCTGACCAGGCATAATCTCTCTCTCTCTCTCTCTCAACACCGTATAGGCAATAGGTTCTCTCCTACATATGCTGGTGCACTGCTAGCATGTGTCTGGGTATATGCACTCATCTTTGCATCGGCTCCTTTGGCTGACTGGGGCAGTTACGGACCAGAGCCCTACGGGACGGCTTGCTGCATTAAGTGGAAAGCTTCCACGAGAGAAGCCAAGTTCTACATCGTGGCCCTCTTCGTCTTCTGCTACATCATCCCATGCCTCTTGATCCTCATCTCTTATTCACTCATCCTTTGGACTGTGAAAGTGTCCAGAAGAGCAGTGAAGCAGCACATGTCACCGCGGAGCAAGACCAACCATGTCCACAGTCTGATTGTCAAGGTAAGGACCAAACAATTGGGCTGAGGGAATGCGGGCAGAGATGGGCATGTTAGCACCAGTGCCAGCAGCCCAAGATTTCAGACCAGCCGGGTGGGATTTGCCTGGGGTGCCCTTGCGGAACGTGGCTTACGGGGCTACCACCCATGGCAGGAGGCTTTGGTGGAATTCCACCCCAGCTGTGGAATTCTCTTCTTTGAGAGGTTTGGCTGTCACCCGAGCTGTTGTCACCAAGGCACCGTGACCTATTTATTTCTGCAAGCTTTTAGAAGCAAAATGCTCAGTTTGTTTCCTGATGGAATGATAGTTGTATTATATTTTATAACATATTTCTAATTTTAGAGTGGTGTTTTAATTTTGCTTATGTGGATATGTGTTTTATGTAGGTTGTTAGCTGCTCTGGGCACTATATGTTGAATGGCAGGATAAAAAATAAATAAGTTGTAGAAGTAGCTTGTTAACCTCTTTTCTTTAAGACTCTTTTCTTTATATGCATAGCAGTAAAAACACATTCAGTCCAAGTTACACAGTCTTAATTGGCTGGTAAGAATAATAGTTGTAATCAAGCAACTTTAGCAGTCGCATTTTTAAAAACGTAACATGGCCGTATCCTGAACACTATTATTATTAAGTTAATGTATGCTTGTATCATAAAGAATACGCTTAAAGAAGAAAGAGAAAGAAGTGCCTCTATAATGTGATGTAGCAAAGTGATGTGAGTGCTGGACTTGAACTCCAGACACTGAGCCAATTTTCCACTCGGTCATGAAATTTGTTGGATGACTTTCTTGGGCCAGTCACTCAATCTCAGCCACCTCACAGGGTTGTTGTCATGAGGCTAAAATGGGTAAGTCACCTTGGGTTCTTCCAAGAAGGAAGAAGCAGGACCTAAGTGTAATACGAATTTTGTACACCTCACACTAGGCCTAGCTCAGAGGGAGGGTGGCTGGGCTCCTGCAGAGGGTCTTGGTCCAACAAGGGTCACTGCCAAGAGAGGGCTGCAGTTTTCCTCCTCTTCCCCAGTGCTACTTGCCTGTTTGGCTGCTTCTCGGTGTGGCCCAGTGATTGGTGGTGCTCCGGGGGGAGGAGCAGGAGATGCTCCTGCCTGCTTGGTCCCTGGCCTCGGCCCCCAAGCAAGCAAGTGGGAGCAATGGCTGAAGAGAGGATGCAAAGCCAGAGCTGCCATGAGAAGGCAAACTTACTGGAGAAGTGGCGCATCGAGGGCGCCTTGCCCAGGGCCCTCCAGAACCAGGGACCAGGACGGCTAAATCCAGTCCCTTTCTTTGCGGCATGGCAAGGGTCGGCATGTGGCTACAACTACAGCAACAAATGCATCACTCAAGGTGTCCAGGATGTCCCTGGGTCTCCTGGGCAGTCCTGGGGTCAGAGTGAAGTGGTGGGGGCATGTCACCCTTCCCTCATGATTCTATGGCTATTCATAGTTTATATTTATTGTATATTGTGAATGGTTATGCAGGCCCAGAGAGCCATTAATTGGGATAATAAATAAATAAATGGATGGATGGATGGATCAAGATCATACCTCAATCCTGACAGGTTTTGGGGTCAATTTAGGAATAGACAAGCCTACACAGCTTGATTTTACTCATGTGCACATTTTTCCAAAGGTTTATTCTTTTCATCCCATTTGGGCATGAGTTTTCATTTTTTAAATTTTAAACCTGCATGGAAATTGTATACATTTTTCAAAATGTACACATTTTGTATGTATTTTATGGATATATTACAAATTATAGATGCATCTTCTACAGGCCATCTTCTGTAAGGCAAAGCATTCTCTGCTGCCTTCTCTGTAATATACATATTTTTGTGTATATTTTTTTTCTGAGCTAGTAACAGTTTTGTACACATTTTATTTTAATCTGTAAAATTTGGCCACAGGGAAGATACCGATGTTTAACTGTGTCAGTCAGTATATATTTAGTGAGTTCACTTAAAAATGTTCGCATAAACATGTGAGCTGAGTAAATTTCTTCCACATCCCTAGATCAATTAGAGCTTGGCAAGTTACAAATGATTTCCTCCAGAGCTGAGTAACCACACCTCTGATGCCTGGAGAAGAGAAGATTAAGGGGAGACATGATAGCAGTCTTCAAATATCTGAAAGGTTCTCATGCAGAAGAGGAAGCAGAATTGTTTTCTTTTACTCCTGAGGCAGAACTAAGACTAATGGATGGAAACTGCGTGGAAGCAGTTTTTGACTAACCATTCGATTAAAAGTAAGACCTGTTCCGTTGTGAGGTGGTGGGTTCTCTATTGCTGGAGGCATTGAAGCAGAGACTGTGTGGCCATCTGGCAGGGACACTGAAGCCGAGCCCAGAAATGCAGAGCCTTCATTGAGCAGGGGGTGGAATAGATGATCTCTGAGACCCTTCTAACACTACCAAAATCCAATAGAAGCTGATTCACTTTTGAACTGGGAATCTTGGAAGAACAGGCAGGATACATAAATGCTTCACAGATGGAGCAGGCCCCTCAATCTGTATGACAAAGCTTATTACCTCTAGGTGATGCAAAGGAGTATTACCAAGGTGTAGAGTTTCTGGTGTCAGACTAGGACCAAGGAGACCCAAGTTCAGATCTTCAGAATGCAAACTGCATTACCATGGACCACTCCCCATCTCTTAGCCTAACCTATCTCAGAGGCCTTGCACCGGCAAATATACTGTCAGTATATTATGTATCATGGGCACAGCAGGCATAAATGCACGGTTAGTTTTTTTAAAGTAAATGCAGTCTAAGCTGGCTTTGAAAGCTTTGCTGGCTCCCCAAATGGTCTTTGGAAACCGCAGAACAGCAGTAGCCATTTCAAAGAAACTCGAATTCCTCTCAGTAGGGAGAGAGGTGGAACATGTGCTGTCTAGTGATGCTCCCATTTTTCTTTCCATCCTGCCTCTTCATTCTCTAGGTTGCCACCCAGTACAGTTGCACCAGAATATTGATAGAGCTGTCCTGTAACCTCTTCAAGAATCATCTGAAGAAAAGACTAGCAAATGGGACGTTCTAGAGATAAATAGGAAATCAGAGCAACAGCCCTTAATGCAATATTGAAGCAGCACTCATATACATCACTGTTGAAAAACTGCTTGACTATCTGGAGAAGCATAAAATAGCTCTAAGATGAAGCTTTCTTGCACCCACTTTTCTGTAATGTGCTCATTTCTGCTATGTGAACTTTGATCACAGACACTGGGAAACTGCATGTATCCATGTTTGCCCGAAATTTAGTTCAGAGAGTGTGACTGTGTAAACTCACACACAAATATGGGCTGAATGAGTTCCTCACCCCAGGTCAATTTGAATTTGGCAAGCTGTGAATGACGCTGGCCAGCACCAGAGCTGAGTAACCACAGCTTGGCTCCATAAGTAAGTAGTTAACTTTTGAGAACCTGAATGTATGAAAAAGCAAACGTTGTTGAAGCAGTCACAGTCAGAACGGAAGTAAAACTATTCTCAAAAGTTTGTTTGTTTGCTTATTTAAGAGCTTGATCTTGATCAGAAAAACAGCAGGAGCTGCAGAAAAGTTCTGTGTGTGATGTTGCACCGCTGTGCATAAACAGTGCCTACGGTACAAGGTCGCACACAGACTTCCATCTGGGGACGTGAGTGGGATAATGTGTGATGGAATCTACCTGCTTGATCTACCATTCTGACTGTTACAGCAGGCAAAGGGTGGCTGATGTCGGAGATATTCCTGTGGCAAGTATAAATGCACCCATTGGTTCTTACTTGTGCTGACAATTTGTTCCTCCAGAACCCCTGGGGAACTGAGTTTGAAGAATCTTCGGCACTGGGCATTTTTTAAAATTGCTTCCCCATACATATTTCCTGTATGCCATGTAGAGGGGGAAATATGATCCGTGCATTGCAGTGGGCAAAGGTAAAATGTAACGGAGTTCTATTACAACAGGGCGAGTTGCTCACTTCCATTGCATGACTGTCTGTCATGACTTGACAATTTAATTTAACTGCATTTGCCTCAGCCTCCTGATTCACGAGGATTTTTGTCACTGGTAGATCGAGGGCTGCTTATCTAAAGAGAAGAGGAACTCCAGGGCATGTTTATAATCTGGCTGGGTGCACTAACCAATTCACCGGTTCAGTTAATTAACTCATTAATTACAGACTAATGCAATTAATACATGCATGCACAGAATATTATCCTGAACTGCAGTATACCGTTTCGCTTCAAAAGCGAGGTAAATATTTATGGATTTTTCTTGGCAGCTGGATCTCCTGACTGCAGAAAGATGGTGCAGTGACGGGATTTGGTCACCTGGTCCTCCTTAGCCTGATGGTCTCCTGGTTTCTAGGATAAGACTATTAAAGAGCAGCCTGTTTTCCATCCATGGGACCCATCATGAGGCTCCTGAGTTCAGGAAGTTCATTTGTCTCCATTTGGTACATTTCTGCAGAAAGGAGACCCCTCTCCCTCCCTCCCCCCCCCCCCCCCATGTGTGTGTGTGTGTGTGTGTGTGTGTGGTGAGAGAGAGAGAGAGAGAGAGAGAGAGAGAGAGAGAGAGAGAGAGAGAGACCGACTGTGCATGAAAACAAAAATATTGGATGGAATCCTTTGAGAAAGGAAGGTGCATTCTCTCCCTTCCTGCATTGCACAACCTCAGAATAGATCAGGCTGACCTTGGAAGGGTCCCCCTTTCCTTGGGGCTGCTGCAAATGAGTGTGGGATTAGCATCTCTTCCATTGTGACTGCAAGGCAAACCTAAAGTTGGGCTCATAGGTTTCTCTTTTTCCCTAAGGAACCCTGGGAAATGGAGTTCAGGGAAGAGGTGGTACAGCTCCATGGATTCTTCAGGGAAGCCTTGAAATTTCAGTTCATGCAAAACAGACACAAGTCGGTGATGTAGGTCTAGTCCTGAGTTCTGTGCTGACGTGCCACTAAGGGCCATACCCCGCCAGAGGCTACGTGTGCACGGTGCTTAGCCAAAGAACAAACCTGAGTCAAATCTGATAGTAGCTACACATCGAGTCTTAGCAAAGGCCAAAGTGTTGGCAGACCCCACCTGCTCTGTGTTCCAGAAGAAGATGTACAAGATGTATCTGTATTCCCCATAAAACCTTTATTAAGCCAGCTCAGAGGTCACAAAATATTGTACAAGTTCTTGAGTTCTCTATCTCTCTTAATTAGGTAAAAAGATAAAAACAAAGACAAAAGAGGAGAGGAGCTGAGGAGGAAAGTGGTAGATGTCCAAGCCATGAGGTCTGCTTTTGGTTGAAGTCTTAGGAGGGAAAGTAGGAGGCTGTTCAAATTAGGCTTTGCCAAGGGCTGACATAGCTTCAGGTTGCACCTGGGGCCTTTCCGTGGGTTGCTGAGAATGGAAACGGTGATGGATCTCCCTCCCTCCATTTTTTTAAATATAAAGACCAGTTTTATCTCAGAACTGTCTCCATCCTCAAGCATAACACACCAGGTTCTTTGGAAAGAAGTTCCCTGGAGAGAAACTAGGCCTTTTTTAAAATGAGCAAAGCTAGAGATAGTATACTAGCTTTTAAACACTGGGTAGTTAACAATCTGGGTAGCTCTGTGTAACAGCTGGAGAATGTACCCCGGAGTATAATATCCTCATACTGGTTCTCTCTTTCTCTCTCTGTCTTTCTCCCAGCTCAGTGTTTCTGTATGCATTGGGTTTCTGGCTGCCTGGACCCCTTATGCCATCGTTGCCATGTGGGCAGCGTTTGGTGATGCCAGCGAGGTGCCGGTCCTGGCCTTTGCCCTCTCTGCTGTGTTTGCCAAGTCCTCGGCAACCTACAATCCTCTGGTGTATCTGCTCTTCAAGCCCAACTTCCAGAAGTTCCTCTCCAAAGATCTGTCCCTGTTGCAGGCCGTCTGCGCAGTCTTCTGTTGCAGCCAGCCCAGGGTCATCACGCTCCGGTCGTTCCACACCCGGGATGGCAGGGCTTCCATGCGATTCTCCACTGCTTTCACCGACCACCGTGGATCCTGCAGGAACTGCACCGACACTTTTGAATGTTTCAGCAATTATCCCCGGTGCTACAGGCTCACCCAGAAGCCTGACACAACCGCCAAGAGCAGGCCCCTGGCAATTCTGGGGAGCGGAAGGGCTTGCCGGCCAAGCCTGAAGAGGACCGTGCAGGTCATGGTGCTCGTAACGAGGAAGAAGACCAGCATGGGGACTGTGAACGTGGCAGGAGACGTCCTGCCTTCAAACATTGTGCGAGACCTTATATAAGCATGGCAAGAGGTGAGGGTTCAAAGGCAGGGGTTCTGCCTTGGTCAGACAGGACCATTTGATTGCAATCTAAAAGTCCATCTTTTTTCCATATGTAAAATGGTTCCCAAAGTGTGTTTTGCATACTGCAAATCTTACACCAGCATTTTCTCCATACCAGTCTCCATCTATATATATATACACAGTTGCAAGTTTGTGCCAACAATCTTGCACCTGTTTAAAAACTAAAACTAATAATGCCAAACAACAACATTCCCCGCCCCACCCCACCCCCCAAATCTGTCTCATAGGTCCTTGGAGCATTTACAGCACGACAGTGCCACAACTGATGTGTTGTGGCAGAAGTGTTAAGATTGCCTCCTGCCTGTGCAGGCTGCACTGCGCCGTGGTGAGCTTGCAGAGCTAATGTGCAGTTCATCCGTGCACTTGACATGAGAGGCAGGTACAATAAACGGCTCACATAATTAGAGTATACATTGTTAATCCAGTCAAGCTGGGTGACCAAGAGCTTAGGTGCTCAGGGCCAGTTGCTCATCGGATGTGCAAGGCAGACTGCACTGCGATGTGGAGTGGTTGCACATCTGATGTTCAGCTGACCCATGGGGTGACCCAGAGGGGTGCAGTGGCGCTCATGCACCCAGGGTGCAGCCCTCTGCAGTAGCCTCACTGCTGTGTTCTCCTCGGTCCCCTGATGCTCCTTTCAGAGCTCATCCTGTGCCAACACAAACCAACCACCAGTACAGACACTGCCTATACACACATAATGTCCTGCCATTTCCTCAGATCCATCCCTTACACTCCTCCTTCATTCTCAGTTAGTTTATTGTTTTAATGGAGAAAGAACACAACTCTCTCAAAAGGCATCCAGGGTGGAAAACTAGCAAATCTGAGAAGCTACTCCAACCAATTTCCAACCCTGACCTCTTTAGCCTTAAGTCAGCTGTGGAACCATACAATGAAAAGGCATGGTTCCGCATCTGTATCTGAGGAGTAATGACACCTGCTACCTCACAGAAAAGGCTTGAGTAAATGGAACATCCTAATATCTACAGTGCTTGGAACGCGACAGCATTCAGTGTTACAGCATCTGAAACTTAAATCCATCCCTCTTTAAGAGAGCAACTACCGCTCATGGCCTAGAAATGTAGGCCTGTTCTACAGGGAAGAATTTCACCCAACAGTCACTCCATGCCAGAACAAGGCATAGAACATCCTGGACTCCAAGGACACAGCATCCTTTCTGGTTGGACTGTAATTAGGAAGTCTGGGTTTTAGGACAAGCTTTGTCTGTCATCATGAGAACAATAATAGAAGGCAGGACATTCTATAAAATGGTGGGGCCGAAACTGAAGAAGCTGTTGGTGGAGTCTGAAGGCAAGACCCCCCCTCTGCACGTCAAGAAGAATAAGCCTGTCTCTTTCCATCTGGTACCAATGAGCTGATCCAGCTTCAATGAAAAAGCATGCCATCAGAACTACTCTAGGCTGGCTAGAGCCATTTTTGAGACAGCCAGTACTGCAACGTTGTGCAGAAGCGACAAAAGCAAAATGCAACTGAGAACCTAGAATGCTCTTTCTGGGTCATGCTCTGCATTGCCCTGTTTCTCAAAGACCGCCATCAAAAAGGTACAGGTGAACCAACATTGAAGTATTATGAGAACTTTTTTCACATTTTCAAAGCTTCTTTCTTTCTTTCTTTCTTTCTTTCTTTCTTTCTTTCTTTCTTTCTTTCTTTCTTTCTTTCTTTCTTTAAAAAATGTATGCTAAACATAAGGAAGTCCTTATAATATAGAGTGTGAGAGTTTTGGAATAGAAGGATGTGTGGTGTTTCCTGACACCATTAGCAGCAAAGAATTGCCTTCTTCAGGGTTTCTGGGGAGGCTGAAATCTCCTTCTTCCAGGGACCACAGTTGGGACTGTGGTTTCCCTGCTGCCGTTAGCTTCAGGAAGCAGCAAGCCTGTTTGCTTTGGTGCTAACAGGAGAGGCTAAAGGCCATAATGACCATGATCAGGATTACTCCAATGACCCAACTGGGATGGAGGAAGGATACGAGTGGTGTGGGGATCACTGTGCACCTCATAAAAGGCCTCGGGAGCTGCGTGTGGCCTGCAGGTCATGGCTTGTGCGCTCTTGTTATAGGAGGAAATGGACTGCAGACATTTTGGGGATTGAAGGAAGAGTGGGGTGAAGGCTGCTTATTTCTGACAACAAATTGGAAGGGAAATGTGACTGTGCACTCTACCTGAGCCATTCCGTGAATTGCTACAATTGGGTTGTCCAAACCAGGGAATGGAAGGGAGAGCCAGAAAAGAAATTGGATTCAATGCCCTGTGGGATGGGGGGAGTATGAACTAGAATAGCATATTCTACAAATGAGACTAAGCTGCAGACTACCGAAACGGATGGAGAGTGACACTCCCATTATGCCCGAAAGATATAATGCAGGGTGTAGAAGAAATAAGAAGTGAATCACTGCTCAACATATTGCAGAATCACAACATTTTATGCATTTTATCTCACCTCTTGCCTTTACCCAAACTCATAATATGGCCATGATGGTTAAGCTGGAGTTAGAGAGAGTCCTTTCCAAACTTGATGTTCAGCAACCTTGGTCCCCTGGCCATAGAAATTAATCCTCAGTGCAGCAGCTGAATTAAACAAGAACCATTTCCCCTCCCCTGATATTGCCCAGTGTCCATGCAGAGTTGTTCTCCATCAGTGATATGCACAAACAAAACATGTGAAGGGCAAGCAGATGTCGCAGATACCAAGCCTGGCATCAGTGCTTGGTATGACTGAGCAAATGCCGGTTCCCAAGAGCCCACGCAGACCGACTCCAGGATTTTTCACAGGCCTGTTCCTGGCAAGATGCTGGGCCAGAAGTTGCCCTGGTGGAGTTACATCCCCCAGGCACCTCTCAGGCCTGTTGTAGCAATGCCGCCGGGTGGGCCAGAGGCATCTGGGGTAAAAAACATGGCCGCCATTGAAGACAGCTTAGTGGGCCTATTTCGCCCCTGGGCCAGTGAAGGAGACAGGGAAGGTAACAATGGCCTGGGCAGATAAGCAAGCTTGGCAAACACGCTTGGGGACCCAGGGTCATGCATGGGAGTGGGGCATTTGATGATCCCATCTGTCATTATGACCCCTCCCCCCCCCCCATTTCAAAAGCCCAGTGCTGAAAGGAGAATCATTCTTGGGGTAGCTGTCTTTGTCGGATGAATGGTTCAATGGCTACTGTTCACCCAATTTCATGGGGCCATAGGACTCTGCCACCTACGAGAGAAGAGCATTTGTCCATCAAACCCCAGAGAGACAGTTGCTCTCTAGTCATAAGGGCCTAGATGTCTCGCCCCAAAGAGTAACCCTGCCCCCTGCCCAGGTAGATTTACCAGGCACAGAGGAGATGGCCCTGATCAGGGTGTTATTACTCCTCTTCCTCACCACCACTTTCAGTGGCCCAGTGCTGAAGAGGACACACCATGCTGGGCATCCACAGTGGCAGCCATCTTTTTCTTACCCCCAGCACCTCCAACAGGAATCTTTCCCTAATTCCTGCTCCTTCTAAATCCAAGGTGCAGAATCTCAGACCCAAAGCCCAGATGCATCCCTCTAGAGCCTCAGTCTGGTCCTCTGCAGTTCCTCAGGTGGCCACGTCCCCTTCTCCTGGCCTCGCCCCCTTTGTGGGTCTTCTGATGGTCTCCTGGCTTTCGTCCCAATTTCACTCCTGTTCTAAAAGGTAGAAATGCCTTGCCTATTGCCAGGCTTACTTGCTGGCAGTAACACTTGCAGCGCTCCCTTTGGTCCATCCCATGATTAGAATGCAGCCTCCCAGAAGCTTTTTTGACATGGATCTTAACCCGCAGAACAAAAGAGATCCCAGACCCTTGTTTCAAACAAGGTGTAAGAGACCGAGCCTGGATCCTCTCAGCTCAGGAGCCTTCCCTCCTCAGAAAGACTCTGTCCTTCACCTTGGGACAAGGATGCACATTCGATCCAGCTTGAGACCAGTTCTTAGGACCTGGTGCATATGTCAAACCCAACCCATAATACCGCCCCCTAACTTTATAGTTAAATCACCTTTGTTTTTTCTAGCCCTCACCCCAGAATAATCATGGTCATAACAACCTTGCTGTAAAGCTTTACACATCTCATTTCATCCTCGGGACCAACTCAAAATTGCTTTGCAGTCAGCAATCCATCACATTTTCTGACATCTTTGCCGCAAGGTGGGCGGGCTTATTGCTTTCCTGCCCCATTTGGATAAGGTGGATGAGCCGAGTGGCTGAGAGATCTAAGAGCTTGCTTGGTACTTGCAAAGGAGTCCAGGCCAAAGAGGGGAAAGCCAATACTGTTCCTTCCAGGGGTCCTTGCTTTGCCTCCTCCCCCATGGCAATGAATGGGATGTGTAATCCCAAGAAAAGGTTAGGGGCCCAGATACAAATTTACATAACATTTACTTATTCTTGTATATGTATGTATATGTAAATTTAGACAGGATAGCTAAGATTTATTTAAATGTTATAGAAGGCAAAGCCAACATTGTATTTCTCTTTCAACTGCTGTTGTCCATGTCAGTTGTCCAGTATCATTGGCAGCCGGGCCCATCCAAGAGCCCTGGAGGGAAACAGGAAGGTGAAACATACTTTAAGAAATGGTACACGAGTTTGCTCTGCAGTGAGCCAAAAGAAGAAACAAGTCTCTCCCACCATCTAGACTGCTGTATGGTTTTGTTGTATGTTCTTTCCATAGAATAGGATAAATTACCTGTCTTTCTTCATTCTACAATCTGATTCTCACCTCCTTTTCCAGTATCCTTTCCCTTCAAGCACAGATATTGCTATTCTCTGTATGAACTCTCATACAAGCAAAATGTTGGCGCTGTACCTTTTTTGAAGACCACCAAATAGAATTGCAGTGGTGAAGGGCAATAGGAATACCTAGCCACAAACCCCACTGCTTTGTCCTCAAAGAGTGTCCTTGGTTATTGACACATTTACGGA